TTTCTGGAAGAACTTTGGTCCTAAGCTCCACTATGTTAGTGCCTACCACCCACATACAAACGGACAAACATAAGTCGTAAATCAGATTTTGGTACCTATTAAGGAGTCTTGGTGGAGATAAGCCTAGACATGTGACCAAATCCAACCACAAGCTGAATTTGCTTACAATAGAACTGTCAATCAATAGGTCGGGCTATCCCTCTTCGAGAATGTGTATGGACAATCTGCAAAAAATATGTTGGACTTAGTTTCTCTTCCTGAAAAGGAGCAGATCAGTGATGATGTGGAAGCCTTAACAAAACATCTTCAAGAGGTCCATAAGCAAGTATCGGAAAAGCCACAGGAGAACTACGCGAGGTATAAGGCTGATGCTGATCTACACTAACAAGAAAACGAGTTCGAGGGTGATCTGGTGATGGTATACCTGCGGCAAGAGCACTTCCTAAAAGACACCCATCAGCTGAAATATAAGAAGATTGGTCTGTGTTGGGTGCTCCAAAGGATAGGTGACAACTTCTACAAAATCAAGCAGCTGCCAGAAGGCTATGGTATTTCCCTTGTCTTAAATATTTCCAATTTCTATGAGCATCATGAGGGTTCTGCTTCCATAGAAAGCGAATGGGAGACCCAATTGTCTAAACAGGTTAGGAACATCACTACTCAGTGTGGATCTTATACCCAATATTTGGTCCAGTGGAGAGGTATGCCAGACTCAAAAAATTCATGGATTCCCAAAGAGGATCCGAAGCGAATTAATGAAGGAGCATTGTGGAGGTTCACAGTCGAATGGAACTCAAGGGCAAGTTCCTCTAACCAAGGGATATTAATGTAGGCAGTTCTTGAGCATTGTGCAGAGCATAACCTTTTCACTCATAACTCATAGTTGCTATTATTTCTACTCATTGGAAAGCTCTTTCATAGCTCTGTGACATTCAAGTCGCTTTGCTTTGTACTTGCATGATGCAATATGAGGTTTAGAAATCTTGTTGTTTATGGAAATTTTGTAGGCTCTTATTGTGCTTATGGATACTTGAGTTCTTTATTTGATTTGTTTTTTATGGTTTTCTTGAATTTTTAGTTACTGTACATCTGCAATCTTCATATGTTTTCTAATATGCTGTTTGAGTCATTCCTGGTGATACTAGCATAAGTTCTATATGTTATTCAATTTTTTTCTTCTTTGGAGCATTCACGAAAAGGTTTTTGTTTTCGTAATGTTAACTACAATCTGATAGCCCTTTCTGCACAAAAATATTGAATGTAACTCATAAAGTTACATTTCCTATTTTTCCTCGGGTGTGAAACATTGACTCATGGTTTCTGTATTATTTACTTTTGATTCTGGTATCATACTTTTATGAAGGTAAGGTTTTGTTATGAATAAGGGATTGAGAAACAGAAATCCATAAGCAATTCAGTTAGAGCATTTTAATGAACTACAATTTGACATACCGATATGAAAGAGAAGTTCTTAATGCATGACTCTTGGACTAGACTTGAGTCCACACGGTTATGATGGTAAACCTAATATTTATGATACTTTCCTTCGACAAATTTAAAATGGATATTGGATGTGTAGCCACAATACTCTCCCTCAAGCTTGTACAAAAATAAAAATGTTTCTATTCAAAGTTTCTTTTCTTTGATATTGAGATTAATGCATTGAAAGATCCTAGTACAATGCCTTGAGGATAAGTTCACCTTTTGACCAATTATCCTCAAGCACTTTGTGGTTGAACAAGATCTTCAATACAGTAAAGATGAGCACATTTGGCTGATAGAATGGAGCACCGCCACTGCATAGGGGAAGTATGAATTTGTGATTTGCAAGTAGAAAACATGAAATAAGAAATTCCAAAGAATGGCAAATGTAGTAAATGGCATAGAGAGGCCTAGAAAGTGAGGTGAGGTGGAAGGCTGAAATCATGCCTTTCTTCCCATTTAGCCTTTTAGCTAGTCCAAATTAGGCAGGAGAAAAGACCCAAAATCATGTCAGGTGTGCAAGGTCAAAGTAACATAATGAATAGTGGTGTTCCACAACGTAATTTCTATGCTGAACAAAGACAAAAAGAATGCATGGTAAAACTAGATTGGGAAAAGGCGTACGATCATGTAGACTGGGCAATCTTGGAAGAAACTCAAACTAGGATGGGGTTTGGGTACCGAAGGAGGTCCTGGATGAAAGCTTGTCGCTCGCAACCTTTTTTCTCAATCCTCTAAAGGACTGTTCCCCTCCTGTAGGGGAGTAAGACAAGGAGATCCCTTCTCTCCTTTCTCTTTGCCATTTCCGCTGAAGTCTTCAGCGAGTCCATTTCCAGAATGTTTGATACTGGTTTGATGAATGGCTTCTCTTGCGGGAACCACGGTCCTAGCATCACACATCTCCAATATGCGGACGATACCTGGGTCTTTTGCAATACTCATCCTGATGAAATTAGCAACCTCTTCTTGTTCCTCAGATGCTTCGAATTTGCAATAGGATTCAAAGTCAATTTCAAGAAATCTAAGATGATGGGGATAGCGGTCGATTTTTCCACATTGAGAGACTTTGCGGATAGCCGGGGATGAGAGGGGAAAAGCTCCCATCTCACTATCTTGGTCTACCTTTGTGTGTGGGTAAACCCAAGAAAAGTTTATGGTTGCACATTTTAGAAAAGGTGGATTGTAAACTTGCAAGTTGGAAGGGCTACTTCCTTTCCCCAATAGGAAGGCTGACTTTAATTAAGGCTACTCTGGCAAAGATCCCTGTCTACCAATTGTCATTATTCCATATGCCTGTGGAGGTCAGTTCTTGGATCGAGCAGTTGATCCGAAGGTTCTTTTGCCACAAATTCCACCTCATTTCGTGGGCTAACTTTGCCTACCTAAGAGTTTGGCAGGACTGGGGGTTAGAAACTTGAGAACAAATAATGTGGCCCTTTTGGGAAGTGGTGGTGGCGTTTCCTAACCCAAAGAGGTCAGTTGTGGATCGATATTCTTAGGCACAAATATCGCACCCCCTCATCATCTTGGTTACCCGATTGCAGTACCAATAATAGATCGTCTGGGATTTGGGGATCTATTTGCTTCTCATTCCAGCCATTCAAAAGAGGTATTCGATTCCACCCAAAAGATGGCAGTGGGGTCCTCTTTTGGCACGACCTTTGGCTAGGTCAAGCTCCACTCAGGGAGAGTTACCCAGATCTTTATTCGCTCCCCTGTTCTCAAGGGGCTACAGTAGCAGATGAAATGCCTGAGGCTGGCTCCTCCAGATCATGGAATCCAGTTTGCAGGTGAGCACTCAATGACTCCGAGATTTCTCATTTCTCGGACCTGGCGGCAACCCTTCAAATCTACTTTATAGCCACTCAGCGACATGATCGAATTATCTGGACCCCAAGTGCTTTTGGGGCCTTCACGGTATTCTCATTCAACCAAAAACTTATCCAACCTCCCACTTACCCCCTATCTCCCCATCTATTGTGGCCCAAGCTTGGTCCTCTTTCTCCCCACCAAAAATTCAGGTCTTCATGTGGATTGCTCTTTCCCAGAGGGCACTCACGGTCGACCAGCTTCAAAAGAGAGGGATCCCCCTACTTAATCGATGTTTCCTCTGTCTCAGAGGAGACAAATGACCACATTTTCTTGCACTGCCCGTTTGCTTTCAGGATTTGGGGAAAGCTTCTTAGCCTCTTCAAAGTACAGTGGGTGCTACCCGCCACTGTTCCTTTGATCCCTGATGTCTTACAACCTTCTCCTTGGCCTAAAGCATGTATTCAGTTATGGAAATCTGCCATGGCAGCAACCATTTGGTCTATTTGGATAGAGCGTAACAATAGGATTTTTCGAGGGGAGTACTCCTCTTGGCACAATATCTTTGTTAAGCTTAAATCTTCGCTTGTGTTTTGAGCAACCAATCACAAAAGCTTTAATGGGGTCCCTTCTTCAACCTTTTACCTGGACTGGACTGTTACACTGCAACACTGTAGAAAACGTCTACCTCGGTCTCCAATTGGAGACCACCTAACCAGGGGCAATTTAGGCAAGAGCCCTGTACTCGGCTTCTGCACGAGCGAGCACTAAATGAAAGGGGTGGAAGTTCCTCCACATTTATGATCGTGTACATTCACGCGCGAATTGCGTATTATATAAGTGCTGTGCGATCCCGCTGTTCGCCTGCGTATTTCAACCTACCTTTGTTTTGTCTAGCTCAGGTTTCTAAGATGATTTCCTCTGGGATGACGGAAAGAGATCGAAGCTCTCTCTTCTGACGATGGTTGGAGTTGACGTCAGTTAAAGTAACTTTTAAGGCTAAATAATCAATTGGAAGACCTTCGCTTGATGAAGCCTATCGGATAAGACAAAAGGAGGATGATCGTCTGATTGTACCTGATCCTTCCTTATCTGGCTATTTGAAATCTGACTCTCTTGAAACGGACTAGCTAACCACTTGCTCTCCCAGTTGAGCCAACCTTTTAACTTCAATGGCTGCTCCTTGGGGAACCCAGGGCCTTCAGGTGTCAGTGCTATTATTACGGACCACTTGGGATCAACTGTTGCTTCCATTTCTAAAAACATTGGACACATTGATTCCAAGGAGGCGGAGGCCACAACTCTTCTTGAGAGTCTTAGGCTCATTCATCTTCACAGGATAAAGTCCGTTATTATAGAGGGAGATTCCAAGAACGTCATTGCTTGGGCTACAAATTCCTCTACCCCTCCTTAGGTTCTAGCTCACATTTTTGATGAGTTCATTGATGGATTTGATTGTATCTTCATAATATAGTTGTGTCATGGAATCCTCTTTTACATGGCATGGGGTATCCAACACCCCATACCCATATTGAACATTGACTCACATACTGTATCCATCCAGCATACCTTTCAACTTATTCTGATTGTAGCCATGCTTTAAAGTTTGAGATATTGAACGAAAAACATTTGCTTTTCAAATGTTATATAGAATACACTTAAAAAAAGATGTTTCTAAAGAAGAGCTATAATCTAAAAATTTCTTACAGTTCATGATAAACTCATCCGGAGCAGCGAGGATTTTGTCTGGCCTGTTGATACCACCTTTCATGGAAGATTTGCCATTGATGTGGAGTTCCTGGACCTGAAGGTTGCTCAGCCAAATGTAAAATTCTCAACTATCGTCCAACATTTTTAATCATAGATGTTCATGTGTTCTTTCCCCTTTCCTTATGATTACTATTTTGGTAGGTAAAAGAACTGCATGTGAATTGCATTCATGGTGCTTCTGCTTTCTTTCGCCTGAAAATTTATTGAAAATTATTATAGAACATCCAATTGGTTTTCAAAATCATGGCCAGTTCAGCCACAATTCAACCATACCTTCATGTTGTAACATGTACAGTATATTATGAGTAGTTGTGCTACAAACATTACAAATTACATGGTATTTCTCTCCTATTAGCTCCACTTGTATTTGTGTTCCTTTAAGGACTGACTTTGTAAATTACATCTAATTTTTTTCTAATGATAAAAGAAAGAGAAATACATCCAATTCTTTCTAGTGACCCCATTGAGTATTTTGCTTGTTAAGTGAACCATGAACTCTGGATTTCATTCTCGTTTAGCTTCCAACATTGGGCTCACTCATGAATATTTCATTGCAGTCTTTATGTCAATGACTTGTTACTATTTGTCGATGTTTCCAACATATTGGGACAATGACTTATTTTTGAGATACCTTCGCAGAGGAACTTCCAGATCCATTTTTGAAATCGTTGGTTTCAATATTGGAAGTATATCAGATAAACTTGCTCATAACTAGAGAAAAGGTAAATATAAAAATTAGCAAAAAATAAATATGCAAAGATTAATTTCCCTTCTTTATAGAAAAACTGAGGAATATAGTTTATGAAACTTGTAAAGGTGCACTCAGGCTTTATGCGCATGCTGCCCAAAAACATCAGTGTTCTTAGGGTTGCTTTTTTAGGTGCACCGCCAATTTGTGGTTCTAGAACTCATTTTTATGTCACTTTTAAACCCCTTTAGGTGCGCATGCATGTACTAAAAGAAACTGCTGTTTTGCGAGATAAACTGAAAATACTAGTTTTTTTCAGGAAAACGTTTACATAAGGTTGCAACCTTATATTATAGAATTAAGGCGCAACTCAAAAATCTAGTAGGAAATAGTATTACGAAGTTGGAAAGCCTGCCAATTGACTATCTTGACTCAAGACGTATGGATATAAAAAAAAAAATTTCAAGTCCTAAAAATAGTTCATCTTGTAACAAGTTATCTCGACGTCTATTTTGAAGATTTTCAAGTGCTTATAGATCTGCTGATCTACACCATTTTTAGAATTTTAAACTTCATAATTAGGATTGAACATGGGATTTCAAGTCATCGTAAGGTTTCTAATACCAGAACATCTTTTGGCAAAATTTAGAAATCTGCCTTAGTATAAGGTGGGCACCTTATACAAACTTCACCCTTTTTTTGTCATGCTTGCAGAACACTGCATTTTGTTAGAAAGCTAAATGTACATTGAATCAAAAACTTGTGTTGCCACCAAACTAGGGGTTAGTTGCATCTTTGTTAACCTATATTTATTGAAACATAAATTTAACTTTTCCGGAGAAGTCAAAAATCAAGGAGAAGTTTTTTGTTATATTGAAGCAACTACATTAAATTGAAAATTTATCTATATTTGCGCATCATTTTTAGAAAACAAGGTTATCCATTATACTTTTGTCACAAAAACAATGGCAAAGTCCAATCTTGATCTGCTATTTCGGAACTAAAGAACAAACAGAAAGGATACATTAAGTTTCATCTCACATAACCGAATTCTCCGGTCTTTTGACTAACAGGGTAGTGCTTGTTCCATATGGCCTAATGATGGGGCCATACAATCAAACTCAAGCAAGAGCACTCTTCGCTGCCTCTCCCGCATGCTTGATGAAGCCATCCACACGGATATCACCATCAACACGTCCAATGGTACCGTGCGGGCCCACAAGGCCATACTGTCAGCTAGCTCCCCAGTGTTTGCTAGTATGTTCCTTCATGACCTCAAGGAGAAAGAATCATCGACAATTAACATAGAGGACATGAGTGTGGAGTCTTGCACTGTTCTTTTGAGCTATTTATATGGTGGAATTAGGCACGAGGACTTTTGGAAACATAGACTTGCACTCTTGAATGCGGCTGATAAGTATGATATGGGGGACCTAAAGGAGTTGTGCGAGGAGAGCTTGTTAGAGGACATAGATTCAAGCAATGTGCTCGAAAGGTTGAGGGAGGCATGGCTTTATCAGTTAGTGAAGTTGAAGAAAGGGTGTTTGATGTATCTCTTTGATTTTGGGAAGATATATGATGTGAGAGATGAGATTGATTCTTTCTTTCGACATGTGGATAGGGAGTTGATGGTAGATATGTTTCAGGAGTTGCTCAATGCTGGCAGGGTGGGGTAAGAGACATGTATGGCTTACTGTTTTATGGGTTAGGTGTGAATCATGTGTTATATATTATTTTATGCATATTTTGTAGGAGAACGTACTGTGAATATTTTGTAGAAGACATTTAGTTAATGTATTTCTTGGTTTTCTTCTGTGTCATCCTTTGTAGTTCTTTGTGTTCTTTACCTCTTATATTTGTTGTAAGAGCGAACTATAAACAAAAATATATACATAAAATGAAGGGGAAAATAGCAATTTAATTGGGTTGTCGGGTGCTACTTAATTGAGGTTGGAAAATTCGCTTTGACGGGTGTTAAAATTTATCATTCTACATGTCATAAATTTAATTAAATGTACAAAGCCATTATTATTGAATAAGGATCTCATATTTCACAAAAATCAGAAATAAACAAGAAAATCAGTGTATTCAAAATAAGACGGCCACCGAATTGGTAAAGGGTTTAGTTCATGTCTGATTGGACTTATGGTCGAATTAGTTGGATCTAATCTTTTTTTTTTTTTAGTGAAAAATAATATGGGAACAATAGCTTTAACCTAAATATAAATATGAAATACAATACAAAAGAAGTTACTAAAGCATGTTTAGGTATTCCGACCGATCAAATGTAGCCGGTTGGATATATGCCAAAACCAATCATCGTTAGTTTTATGGGCTTTCAATCAAACTCAGTTTTTAATCGGACTAGAATGGCTAAGGGGTTGGTCAGCAATACGCCCAATCTAGTTTTGATAACACTTATTATGACTTTATTCTAATTGTTTAGCACAATCACGGGAACCTCAATTTGAATTCGGAATTATGAGAGTTTCCACTTTTCTGAGACGAGTAGTTGTCTATGCCTAAATCTACATACATCTTCCTCTTTTTTGTTGCTTTTTCGGATAGGGATGCATGGTTTAGAAGAGAGATTAGAATGACCGTAAATAACTTCTCGTAATGAATATTCAATGGGGATTGTATACAATGAGATTATTTTATTTTTGATATAAGGAGGTGACAATTACTTATGACGATCTGATGTGAATTTGGAACTATTTATTTTTGATATAAAGAGGTCACAATTACTTATGACGATCTGATGTGAACTTGGGACGTATCACAAGAGTTGGATAATAAGTATTCTTGTATTTGAATTGAAGTAGTTGTAATTAAGTCTATATAACCTTTGCTCCAGACCCTTGATGGGGCATCGGCGGTAATATTCCTTTGTAAGTGAACACCATGAAATAAGATTGGGCAACGACCGTTGACACATTTGTCCCTCATTGTGATTGCCTGTGGTGTGTGGCCTCCTCTTGAGTGCACATCAAGTAGGATGAACTTCACCTTTAGTTGCTTGACTAAGTATGAAGGCTACATGATTCGCTTAGTTGAAGAAATAGCCCCGAGACAGTAATAGAGCCAAGTTCCAAACATGGCCTTACGATGGATGACTGAATAAACACGGTGCAGGAACGGCTCCCACAACTAGACCAGTCTTTGCTCGGGTTGTTGCCCTAGGGCTCGTTTGGATAGGACGAATTTAAGAATCTTATATATTTGAAATCTTAAGGCAATATATAGATTTTCAATATCAAGAATTTTTTCCATGGATTTTTCATATCTCTTATTTGGATAAACTATATAAAATTCATAGATTTTTTGCAATCACTTCCATGTCCATTGTTTGGTAATACAATTTCTCTCTCTAAAATTTTTATATGCTTTCTCTCTCTAAAACTTAAAATTTGGGATAGTGTATCTATAAAAATTTTGAGATAGTTTACCTCTTTAAAATTTGATGCGGTTTCTCTCTCTAAAAATTTAATACACTTTCTATCCAAAATTTAAAATTTGAAATTTTCTATCTAAAATTTTGAGATAATTTATCTCTCTAAAATTTTTAAGTGCTTTACTCTCTCTATAATATAGTTTCTCTTTCTAAAATTTTAAGATACTCTCTCTCTCTCTCAAACTTAAAACTTGATGTAGTTCCCCTCTTCAATAATTTTGAGATAGTTTCTCTATCTCAACATTTTTAAGTAGTTTCACCATCTAAAATATGATATAGTTGTTCTCTCAAATTTTAATATACTTTTTCTTTCTAAAAGCTAAAATTTGAGATAATTTCTCTTTAAAAATTTTGCGATAGTTTCTTTTTAAACAAAATTTATGTACTTTCTCTCTCTAAAATTTGACATAGTTACTCAAATTTTAGGATGCTTCTCTATCTAAAACTTCAAGTTTGAGATAGTTTATCTCTCTAAAATTTTAAAATAGTTTCTCTATTTAAAATTTGATATAGTGTCTTTTTAAAATTTGATATACTTTCTCTCTCTCTAAAGTTTAAAATTTGAGATAATTTTTCTCTCTAAAACTTGTATTTTTTTATAGTTTCTCAATAAATTTTTTTGAGATAATTTCTCTTTCTAAAAATTTCATGTACTTTCTCTATCTAAAATTTGATTTAGTTTAGCTCTCCAAAATTGTAAAATACTTTCTCTCTCTAAAACATAAATTTTGTGATAGTTTCTCTCTCGAAAATTTTGAGATAGTTTCTATCTCTAAAATTTTTTAGGCAGTTTCTCTCTCTAAAATTTGATGTAATTTTTATCTTTAAAATTTTAATATATTTTCTCTTTCTAAAACTCAAAATTTAAGATAGTTTCTCTCTAAAAAACGAAATATTTCTCTCTCTAAAATTTTCTTGACAATCTCTTTCTAAAATTTATAATAATTTTTTTCTAAAAATTTAAAAATACTTTCTCTCTCTACAATTTTAAGAATACATTCTCTCTCTACAATTTTAAAAATACTTTCCCTCTAAAACTTAAGATTTGATATAGTTTCTCTCTCTAAAAATTAAAATATGAGAATGTTTCTCTCTCTAAAAGTTTTGAAATAGTTTCTCTCTCTAAAAAATTGAGATAGGTTCTCTCTTTAAAATTTTGAGATTAGTTTATCTCTCTAAAATTTTTGGAACTTTATCTCTTTAAAATTTTAGCATACTTTCTCTCTCTAAAATTTTAAAAATACTTCGTCTCTCTCTCTAAAATTTTGAGATAGTTCGTCTCTCTAAAAAAAAATTTGGTACTTTCTCTCTCGAATTTTTTAACATACTTTATTTACTCTCTAAAATTTTAACATACTTTCTCTATCTAAAATTTTAACATATTTTCTCTCTCTTAAGTTAAAATTTGAGATAGTTTTTCTCTCTAAAAATTTTGAGATAATTTCTCTTTTTAAAAAATTTAAGTATTTTCTCTCTATAAAATTTTCATCTCTTAATACTATCTGGTAGTTGAGAAAGCTAATGAGTGAAATCCATGAGCATTGGAAATGCAAAAAAGGAAGTTTCGATGTGGAAATGAAATCATGAAAAAATAAGTCTTATTTCCATGGTTTTGATTTTCCTGACATTGAGCAATCGAAACGGCAAAATATTAGAAATCCATGGGCAGAGGAGAGCGCCCAGGCTCTTAGCACTTGCGCCATGGGATGGTGAGAAGCACGATGAAACTTGTGAATTCCAATTGGGAGGCTCATGTTTCTTCATTTTTCAAGGAGAATCTAAAGACCCTAAACGAAGAAGTCACCCCATTTGAATTTTAGCTAAAAGAATTCCCATTAACCTTTGATTCTATGCCTTAGGGACCACAATAATACAGTAGGCCGCCCCACAGTCCATATTCCCTAGGAATCTTTAGAGAATATTCCCTAAATCCAGATCTACCAAATCCAATCCAAAATCAACAAAACCAATCCAGAATAGAGTTAATAGACCTAGGATAACCTTGAACATATCCCGGACCCTAAACATGATAAGAATGGATTAGATTGTCCCTCCCTAAATTTAAGCAGAATAAACATGGCCAAAAAGAATTTGTGGGACTGGGGCACATTGCTATAAGGAGGTGCAGTTCAAGTCAACTTCTAAGTCAGTGCTAATATCTATAAGAAACACTTTTCAAGGGAGGGGTTCAAAAGGTTAGATTAGAAGTCCCAAAGAGATCCAGAGTCCCAAGAGTAGAGTTCTGAACATCCTAAGAGCCTTACAATTCCCAATTAGAAACTCTTTTCTAAGGGTTCAGAAGGTTAGATTACAACTCCTACAAGTCCCCAGACTTTTGAAATCCTAAGGACTTATAGAATTCCCAATTAGAAACCTTAGCCTAGGCAAGTCTAAACAACATTGATTCCCTAACTCTCTCTTTGCATTCTCAATTCGAAACCTCTAGCCATAATAATTATTCAACTTTTAAGTCCAAAGCCAAAAACTTAAAATCTTTAAGAAAGATAATGTATAAACTAAGAACGATCGATCCGGAACCCCAACTTTGGGTTCCGGGTCCCTGGTAAGTATTTTTACCTTTCTGTTTAGTTAATTATTTAGTTTAATTTCCAAACATAGTTCATTAAGATCTAACTTGTTAAAATTGTTTAGGTGCATAAACTCAGCTAGTGTTGTCAACAGTTCTGAGAGAGAGCTGATCTTTCAAGGTCAAATCTATTTTTGAAGTTCATCCTTGGCTAGATTGCCTGATAATAGTTAGAGCTTCCCTAGTGCCACCCCAGATGTGGTGGCCATCCTCAATGAAGGAATATGCAAATGTGATGCCCCCTAAACTCTCTATGTCTTTTCCTCTGCGAGGAACAATGGATTATCAAATCGAGCTTGAGGTTGATGCTCGGCCACTAGCTCGCGCCCCGCCCCTTATTGAGTGGCACATTTAGAATGTCTGAGCTTCATAAGTAGTTAAGTGAAGTATTGAAGTATTCGTGTCCAATCTTGTTCTAGAAGAAGCAAGATGGATCTCTTCAAATGTGCCTAGATTATTGTGCACTGAACGAGGTGCCTCTGAAGAATCATTACCCGTTGCCCCTCATAGGTGACCTATTCGATTGGCTGACTAAGGGCAGGTTCTTCAACATGCTTGAATTGCACCCGAGCTAGTGGCAAATACTATATCAGAGCACGATGGACTAACCCATTATGGGTCATTTTGAATTTTTTTGTAATGCCATTTGGACTATGTAATAACCTTACAACTTTTTGTCAATCACTGAATGGTGTCCTTGATGACTATATCGTTGTATTTGTAGTTGTCTATTTGGATGACATTGTTGTATACAACCAGACCCTTGTTAACCATGTTCG